TCTGCACTTAGTGGGGGATGTCTCCCAGTTAGGCTACTCAGGGGTCAGGGACCCACTTGAACAGGCAGTCTGTCCCTTCTCAGATCTCAGCCTCCATGCTGGGAGATCCACTGCTCTCTTCAAAGCTGTGAGACAGGGACATTTACCTCTGCTGAGGTTTCTGCTGCTTTTTGTTTAGCTCTGCCCTGTCCCCAGAGGAGGAGTCTACAGAGGCAGGCCGGCCTCCTTGAGCTGTGGTGGGCTCCACCCAATTCGAGCTTCCTGGGGGCTTTGTTTACCTATTTAAGCCTCAGCAATGGCAGGCGCCCCTCCCACAGCCTCGTTGCCACCTTGCAGTTAGATTTCAGACTGCTGTGCTAGCAATGAGGGAGGGTCTGTGCATGTGGGACCCTCTGGGCCAGCTGTGAGATATAATCTCCTGGTGTACTATTTCCTGAGACCCTTGGTAAAGCACAGTATTAGGGTGGGAGTTACCTGATTTTCCAGATGGTGTGTGTCTCAATTTCCTTTGGCTAGGAAAAGGAATTCCCTTCCCCCTTGCACTTCCCAGGTGAGGTGATGCCTCACCCTGCTTCAGCTCTCGCTGGTCGGGCTGCACCCGCGGACCAGCGCCAACTGTCTGACATGCCCCAGTGAGATGAACCCGGTACCTCAGTTGAAAATGCAGAAATCACTCGTCTTCTGTGTCACTCATGCTGGGAGCTGGAGGCTGGAGCTGTTCCTATTCGGGCATCTTGGGCGTGCCCCCCTACTGTCTTAGGTTTTTATACAACTTAAAATATTTATTGTATATCATCTGCCAAATGGTTCCTATATTTGAAAATTTTTGGATCTTATTCTATTGCTATTTCTGATGACTCTTGATCATATTGGCTTGTTTACTTTTGGATTTAGTAACTTTTTAATTATGAATTTAAGTTTCTTTGAAAATTATTCGGGGATATCTCATTATACCTGTGTTCAAATTATATATTGGATAGCTATTTCGATTTAATCCAGTACTTCTCTTTTATTTAATAGTGGTGTAACAACAACAGCAACAAGAAAACGCTTGTATTTAAACACTTGTCTACAGATTTAATTATTTTCTTAGGACAAAATACAATTCCTGGGGTTAGAGGGTTAAAGTAGTGAATATTACATTCTAATATGTTTTATCAAATTTATTCCATAAATGTCACTGCAGTTTATATTGTAGTAATATTTGACCTTCATATTTTAAGGTGAATATTGAAACAATTATCTGAAAAAGTCACTAGGATGATAACCGGACTGAGATATAAACTCTATATAAAAAGATAAAATAAGAAATATATGTGTGTGTTGAATATGTGTATGTATTCACCTGATAATTTAACTTTATCAAATGTTAAGTTAGGCAATAAATACTCCAAGATTATGGTAGGTTCTGTTTCTGTGTATTGATTAATTCATTTGCCTATTCGCTCAACAATATTTGCTGAGTGACTAATATAAGTCACCAATAAACTAGCCATGAGGGATTCAACAACAAGCCATTATGAAACTCACAGCCTAATGGCGGAGACTTTAATAAACAGGTTAAAAACAAAATATGGAAAAATAATGAAATACGGAAAAATTTCAAAATTTGGGAAGTTTTATAAATGTTTTAGAAAAATGCAGTGATACAAAGGGATGTCGTTTGTTGCTCATTTTTTTAAATCTAGGGTGGTTAGGGAAAGTCTCACATTAAGCATTCTTTAAGTGTGGGTAAGTGATGTGTTAGGGTAGAGACAGGGAAATCAACCCAGAGATAAAGTACAAACAATGACTCTGAATAAAATGCCTACATACTGGCAACTCCAGGAGAGAGTAATATGAGGTATTAATAAATTTGCAAAAGGAAAGTAGTGGCTAGATCAAGAAAAGCTCTATAGATCAAGGTAAGAAATTTGGATCTCATTCTCAGGGCAACAACAACAAAAAAAACCTTTAAAGATATTTTTCAGCAGATTTGTCATGTAGACTGATTTATATTTTTAAAAGTTTATGGTCTTCAGGAAGAATGGATTGTAGACCATCAACAGTGGAAACAAGAAAACAATGTGAGAAATTACCGTAGTAATATAATTGAGAAATAGTGATGGCTTAGAATGTGGAGCTTGTAGTAAGATTTATAGAGACGGATATATCAAGATACATTTTAGAGGTACAGATATACTCACTAGGGCTAGATGAAACACTGAATAAAAGACTGATGGAAAGTATAGATTCTAAAGTGACTTTCAGTTTTCCAGTGTGAGCATCTGAATAAGAGAGGCACCTAGAATCCTGTACTTTAAACTCTGTTGACACAGTTTGTGTGTGTCTGACACAAAGTACTATAAGCTTCTGAGGGGCAGGAACTTTCCTTTCTCCATTTTTGCATCCTTATTGCCCCACACAATGACTAGCACAGAGAATTTACCCAATCAGTATTTGCTGAATGAACTGATGAATGAATAATTAAGTGAAAAAAAGATTGTCTTTTGTCTTTTTGTACTGGACAACTAGAAATAATGGCTCATAATTACAGGCAGACAGATTTCAATTCTATGTAAATATTGCCAGATAATTAGAACTCCACAAATGAAAGAGTCTGACTTTGGAATAACGTGCTCTCTGATAACTAGGAATATTTAAGCAGAATTTTGTTGCAAATAAGACAGGTGTCTAATTTTGAAGAAGAATTGGAAATTAACTCAGGCAGAAAATATTAATTCTTCCAACCTCTCTACTTAATCCCTCTTTAAGTTCAGAATACCTTTCATTGTCCATACCTCTGAACAATGACATTTTATTTTCTGTTAATTGAGTTATTTAACTTATGTTAAAAGAATGTCTTGAAATACTGAGGATAAAATTATAATAACCACTTCCTCCTTTCAGGTAACTAAAATGTAGGGTTTATAGTTTCTAATGTTTGCCCAGGGTACCAGGATGTCTGGCATATATGATCGTGACTGAGAGCATGAAGCACCTGCCTGTTTCTCCTGATGAGGTTCCCATCTCATGCCTTACCAAGCAATATGGACGTGGGAGGTTTAGTTAGAGAAGAAAGAACTGATAGAATCGGACTTGACTATTGGTTGGAATTTTTGAGTTTAGGAAATCTTTTTTAAAGGTTCTGTCTCTATTTCATATTTTATGCAAGATTCTACTAAAGTTCTATGTCATGGAGAAAGCAAAGGAGCCCCCACAATCTGATTCAGGAAAACAATATCTTCTCTCATGTATTTTTATCTGTAAAACTTAGAGACTACAGCTACAAGAATAAATGGATCTTGGAGGTCATAATAATTCTGACTCAAAGTCAGAGGATTTTATTGGCCATGGGGTAGGGGACAGTACAGTGGGTGGATATCCAAGTTCTCCACTGACAATTTACCTAAAGCACTCTGCTTTTTACCAGTTTTACTACATTTCCCAAAACATTTATTTTGAAGAAAGGGATCTACAGCTGGAAACTCTGTCCACACCATTGGCCTAATTTCACGTAAGAGATTTTTTACAGGTTGAATGAACATTGGAGAAATGTTCCACGGACATTTCTCACTATTTAATTTATCTAATTAATGAGGCAGAACACCCCTTCTATATCAACATCACATTGATGTTTGATTTGGATATATTTAATCTACAATATAACATGCAGCAGACAAGTTAGAAGTGGGTGTTCTCTAGTTCTTAGTAAATTGAATCAGGAATGTTAGAAATACCACACAAAAAAGGGGATCTCTATACATTCAATATTTAAAAGCCTAGCATACTAAGCTGAAACTCTTGTACATCAAGAGTGTAATACGTTCTTATTAATATGATGGTTTGAAACTATCTTACTTTGATTTAATGAATTTGTATCACTGATGCTTTCTTTACAACATCTAAACCTTCAAATTACTATAACCTAATTTTTTTACAAATATTCTTTTACATAATAGGATTTTGCTTAGTTTTTAATCTATATATCCAACTGTATAATATGAAAGGCATGAATAGACACAAGAAAAATAATGAAAACCATTAACATCTCTTTATACCCAGTCAGCTACATATTGCAGCATATTTGTGGGTAAGCTCGGATAATTACTTTTGCAGTGTGATTGAAAAAGTTTTCTTTCTTTCGTTATTAGTTACTTGAAATGCTTTTAAACTATCTTCTCATTTCATTTTGCTTCTATTTTTGCCTTTTCTCCTTTTCTCTCTGTTACTTTCTTCCTTACATTTTTCCATGAAAGTGACAAGATTCTACAGAGATGTTTAGGAAGTGTTCCTTTTCTAAACACTTACATAGTATGTCTCAAATTCAACACACTGTTCTCTTTGTGGAAAACTTCTATCTCAGTTATTATAAAAACAACTGTTAGTGGAGATTAGAAAACTAAGAAGAAGACTCTATTTTAATTATAGATTTCCCATAATGCCTAGTTCAAATGCCAGTTGCTTGAGAAGTAGAAAAACAACAATAACCATATCACTAAGCATTAAATATGGTGCACATCAGCAAAGTGTTTGATTAATTTACTCAGCATATGTGTATTAAACACACTTTTTATATCAGGTATTCTTTTAGATGTTTGGGATAGACCAGTGACCAGTCCCTACTTACTGAGACCTTACAATATAAGGAAGGAGGACAGAAAAAGAGGGAAAATAATATATCAGTTAAAGGTAAATGTAATGAAGGAAATAAAGCAGGGTATTGTATGAAAGGTCAGAAGGAATTAAAGAACCACATTTGGTAGAATGATTAAGGAAGTCGTTTTATATGGAGGTGACATTTGGGTCTTAAGTAGCCATTGCCTGATTCCATTGAGTCTATCCCCACCATAGGTAGATCAGAGTTTTTCAATCTGGTAGGTAACTAATAGTCACTGTAAAAAGATTTAGGTAGAAAAGAGAGGAGTCTAGCCATAATTACTGACAATTATTTTTGGGAAGCTGTGCAGAGCCAATATGCAAACTAATAAATATGTTTTAGCTGACCATAGTGTACTTACCTTGTATATTACACAAATTTTCTCAACACAGCACTTCAACCTTCCAGATTCATATTCCTAGGGAAGTGATGGAAAAATAATTTTATCAGGAGAATCAGTTTGCTGATTCATATCTGGCCCCTTGGTCATAACCAGATGGGTCAGACACTGGTACCCCAGCCAACAATAGGAAAACACACATCCTAGAGTTTATGGATCTGACAAGCAAAGACAGTCATTTTCTCCACTATTTGAAGACATTCTTTTAATATAAGTTTGCTAATCAAATTCAGGAAATAGTTTCAGAAAGTTGACGACATACTCTTTGTCATAATTTAAAGAGGTCTACCAAAAATCAATTGAGTCTTCCTTCCTTCCTTCCTCCTTCTCTCTGTCACACCCTTCTTCCCTCTCTCCCTCCCTCTTTCTCCCTTTCTTCCTTCCTTCCTTCCTCTCTCACCCTGCCTTCCTCCCTCTCTCCCTCTGTCCCTCCATCTCTTTCTCTCTCCCTTCTTTCCTTTCTCCTTTCCTTCCTTTCTTCCTTTCTTCCTTCCTTCCTTCCTTCCTTCCTTCCTTCTTCTCTCTCACACCCTTCTTCCCTCTCTCCCTCCCTCTTTCTCCCTCCCTCTTTCTCCCTCCCTCTTTCTCTTCCCTCCCTTCCTCTCTCCCTCCCTTCCTCTCTCCCTCCCTTCCTCTCTCCCTCCCTTCCTCTCTCCCTCCCTTCCTTCTTTCCTTCCTTCCTCCCTCTCTTTATCACTCTTTTCTTCCTTTCTTTCTCCCTCCTTCTGTCTCCCTCTAATTCCCTTCCTTCCTTCCTCCCCCATCTCTTTATTTTTTCTTTCTTTCTTTCTTTCTTCTTTCTTTCTTTCTCTTTCTCTTTCTTTCTTTCTTTCTTAGAAATATTTTTACAAATGGGCAAATCAGACTTATATTGGCATCACTTTGTTATAGTCAGCCTATATATGTCTAGCTTTGGCTCGTCTACTGATAACATCTTACATTTTATTTTTGTTTTTCTTAGCTTATTAATTGTGCAAATTCTTATTAAATTCTATTGATCTCCATGTTTGCACAATTGATCTTTGAGCCAGTAAAGTTTAAGCAGATATTAATAATTTAAAGGAAGGCTATAGTTAAAAGGAAAAAGCAAATTTGTTAAAGAAAATATTGGTAATTGAGTTTATAAATAAAAAATTGCTATCATTTTTCTTTTCTAATAATAGTTACTGTTACTATTTTGCTTTTCAAGATGATAAGGTTTTTGGCTTTTTAATTTTTTTCTCAAAACCTTTAGATGTGATACGTATATGCTGCTGTCAAAAAATAACAAACTTCCTAAGTCCATGTTTAAAATTCTCATAAAAGTCAACTGTGTTAAAAATGTTTCATCGAGCATGGCAACAATCAAACTTCAGGAATTCTATGAAAGTGACTGTATTTTTTATCAGTAAGTTAGAAGTAATGGCCATAATAACCAATCTAGATTCAGACTTTGGTGTACCAGTCCATCCTAGTTTTCTTCCTGACACTGTTTTCTGGCTCTAATAAAGCTTCTCCAACTAAGGGAGCTGGATTAGAACAACATTAGCTGTAAATTTTGGCTCTCTTATTATTGTGTCTACTCATTTTTCAATTACAACTCTAGAAGCAGTATCTATAGAAAATATATCAAAATTGAGTTAAGTTGTGTGGTAAAGTTAAAACAAAAATCCAACCAGTTAGAATTCAGGATATCTGTGACGAATTCTAGACTCAGCCACTAACTAATTTGGTGACCTTGAACAAGATATTTATTTTTTTGAAGAAGTCTCCATTTCCTCAGTTGTAAAACAAGGGCGTTGACCTAGATCTCTTACAAATATAGGATTCTGAGTTTGTAATGAGCTAAACTGTGTCCCTCAAAGTTTATATGTAGAAGGCCAGGCATGGTAGCTCACAGTTGTAACCCCAGCACATTGGGAGGTCATGGTGGGTGGATCATCTGAGGTCAGGAGTTCAAGACCAGCCTGACCAACATGGCGAAACTCCATCTCGACTAAAATTATAAAAATTAGCTGGGCATGGTGGTGGGTGCCTGTAATCCCAGAAACTTGGGAGGCTGAGGGCTGAGGCAGGAGAATCACTTGAACCTGGGAGGCAGAGATAGCAGTGAGCTCAGATCGCGCCATTGCCCTCCAGCCTGGGCAACAAGAGCGAGACTCCTTCTCAGGGGCAGGGGGGGAAGTGTATATGTTGAAGCTCTAACCTTTAGTACCTTTTAATGTGACTGTATTTGAAGATAGAACCTTTACAGACTTGATTAAATTAAAATGAGGTTGTTAAGGTGGGCCACAATCCAATCTGAATAGTGTCCTTATAAGAGAAATTTGGACATGCAAAGACATACTAGAGGTATGCTTGACCACGTGAAGACAAGTCAAGAAGGCAGCCATCTGCAAGACAAGAACAGGCCTCAGAAGAAAGCAAACCTGTTGACATCTTTGATCTTGGACTTGTATTATGCACAACTTGCTTAATCACACATGGTTTTTTCTTTCTTATTCCAGTAGTAGCCCAGGAATAGACAAATAACTATGAAGATACATAAGAAAGCATTTAAGTTTGTTATCGGAAATGTCTGCAGCAGAAAATCAAACATAGAGCAAGAATATGTACGTGCTAGATCCAGTGCTTTGGTTTATTTAAGACTCTTTTTAGGACTAAGACATTTGCGATATTTGGCATCCTGAGTTGTGGTACCCTATAACATCTATTTTAGGAGTTATAGTCAGAGATGTTCCAGTATTATATAAATTCTCTTTTATTTTCTCTGTAAAGGGTTTATGATAGCTGATACATGTGTGTCCTTATAGCTAATCGTCTCCCCAGAATCCCCCATTAGAGTGCAATCTGCTAAGCTTTCAGACCAGATCTGGTCTAACCTGAAGTATCTGTAGTGAGTGGTGTTTATCACTAGACAAAATGCAGACTTTCATACTAATTTATAACAGGACATACCAATTTTTTTTTCCTCATGATTGGTTTTTCATTCACAGTTTATGATTTGTGGCTTTAAGGTGCAAACGAGTTTTCTAGTTCAATTCATTGGCATGCCAAAAGACTATATAACAGTTTAAAAACACTTCAACTGTTTCCTAATATGCTTCTCAAAGAACTTTCAGACATATTCAATGATCTGCAAGCCTTACAATTCATCATAAGTCAACAGATATTGAATCAGCCAATGAGAAGTCAATGTTAGACAAATGTCTCACAATACAGTTACAGAATTTCAGAATACAGTATTCTGTATTACAGAATATTCTGTAATACATAATTACACAATACAGAACGCAGTATTAATAGAGTAACGTAACTGAATGATCTACCTAAACAATATTCAATAAATTTGGTAGTCTTGTACACCTAATTATTAATTTTCCATGTTAACTATTATTTTTCCTGGAGATACAATATGCATAAAATTATTGTTGTTATTAAATTATTATTGATTTAAAATAAAGCCTTTCTACTCAGTTTCTCCATGTACTGTAAGCATCAATATAACTAGGATAAGCTTAAAATCATAGGCACCACCTCCAATTATCTGAATTAGGATCTTCATTTCAATAAGGTTCCCAAGCACCTACTCTGCACCTTCATGTTTGAGAGATACTGAACAAAAGAATTTAGTCGTGGTCTTTAATATGTAGTTCTGAAATTTTTGTTATAGACATCTTAACACAAATGTAGCAAATAATGGGAAAACATTTGAGAAAAACAATTTAGAAATTGATGTTAAAACAAAAAGGAAAGAGATAACTATTAGAGTTGAATTCATTGCAAGATCTAATATGAAAACAGATATTAATCTAATTTAAATTGCAATATTGCATGCTATTATGATAAGACAAAAAGCAAAGTTTATTTGGTAATTAAGGAAAGCAGAAAATTATTTCTCTGCCCCCCACCAATCTGTCTTTCTCTCTCTTTCACACATACGCATACGCACACGCACAAACTTCATGTACACAAACAAAAGGAAATTCCTGGTTTGTGTACATGAAAATATACTAAACCATTGTGATGGTCCTATCCACCCCTTATATCATTTAACATGTATCCTTCTATAACATTAAAATTTGATCTCTTTTAAAAAATGTTGTAAAGTTAAAAATGTCATATAGCCTCTATAGGAGGTATATTTATCATAGTACTTGTTTCTTTTCCACTTTCAGGATTGACATATTGTAAGTTAAAGTACTGAACATATTTCAGTTTTGCAAGTATGAGAAAGGAGGTGAAAAATGAGTTAGAGCTACTATTTATACTAAGAATTAATGGAACATTCTTCATTATTTTCCTGGAAAGTCAAATTCCTCATTATGAGTGGGTGCTTTTTGCTTTGAGATTCTTTTCTTTTTTTTATAATGAAAAGAAAATAAAATATCACAACTTTTCAATCTTACATATTGTCTCTCCCTTATACATACAAACACCACACACACATACACACACACACACACACACACAGATATCCCCTTCAGAAAATTATCAGTAAACCAACTGTATTTAAAGTTGAAATTTAGATTCACAATGTAGCACTGTAATATGTCTGTGGTTAATTTTAACACAAATAAGATAGGGCAAAATTAAATGTGCTAGCATTATAATACTTTGGCCACTTTGCTTTGTGAGAGTGACTGTGTTGTGTAGCTAGTCTCTGACATTGAAAAGATCTGAACTGTCATGTCATTATGAACATTTAGGGGAGGAAAGAACCACAGTGAATCAAGGAAGAAAAAAAGTTAAACAGGAAAATTGGGCACAACGGTGATTCAGCAGTCACTCTAAGTGGCGGATTACAGTTTGCTTGCCTACTTAAACTTGCAGCTGTGCTTAGGGGAAAAAGAAGGAGTGGGTGAAACCACTATGAAAATGAGGCTGAATAGACTGCTTTTGAAATTGAGCTTTATTCTCTGCTTCTATTGTAAGTACTATTAGCTGTCAATTATTTTAGCAAGTAATATTCATAATTTTTTTTCATCTTCTGACATCGGATTTATAGATCTCAGTAACTGAGTAAACACTTCAGATACCTGCAAAATGGCTTCTTATCTATCCCAACAATCAGAATCCTACTTCTTCAGTGTAAACTTACTGAGTGAAAAGAAGCTAGAAACACAATTATCTGAGTAATGAGTACAGAAAAACTTGCGGTGAATAAGCATAGCAAACTTGAGGAATTTTTATACACAACAATGCATAACTATATGGCATTTTGTAATTTGAGTAGAGCACCATATTTATTTTAAAAACACTACTTTCATTTTACAAATTAACAAATTATTTTATAAAATTTAGAATTTCAAAATCTAGAAAAATATCCACTGTATTAAATTTTAGGGTTACTTGGTCATCAAACTTGGGAAGAGAGGCAAATGTGTACATGGCATGTTTAGGAAGCTCCAATTTGTCACGGAAAGCCATATATCATGTTTTGAAGCAATTGACAGGAGAAACACAGTGTGTTTAGAGGCGGTGTCTGTGACTTCACATGGATAGTGTATGCCATCCTTCCAGAGCAAGGCAAAACATTCTGACAAACACTACTTTGCAATCTCTTCTTAAAACACTGCAATGAAAAAAGTCAGTGGCTTTCAAACTTGCAAAGTTCCAGATTCAATGAAAAATAAAACAGAGCAGTTTCCTAGAGCTAAGAAGTGTCCGTTATTGAGTTTGAACAACAACAAAGAAAGAAACTACCCAAAGAATAAAAATTAGAATATGGAAACCCTGCTAGGAAAAAAAGAAAAAAACGTTTAAAATGTCTATCTCAAATAGGTTACTTGAGAAAACTAGTTTCTTCTTATAGTCATTTATTTGAGTCTGCAACCATTTCTAGAAGGGATACAGAAAGGATATTGGATAATGACTGACACAGCTTTTCTTTCTAATTCTTTCTAATTCCGATTCTTTTCTTTCTAATTCATTTAACTTCATGCCATAATTTTACTGTGTATAAAATGAGAATGCAAGTAAACTTTTGGCAATGGAAAAATACTTGGACTTGTTTTTCTCTTATTCATATGTACTTCCTAAATTAGTTGATACAGTTTTATGACTTAATATATCTTCTATTCTAATTACTCCCAAATGCATACCTTAAATAACATCTCTCCTCTAACTCCATGTTTGATGTCTGACTTAACGCCTAATAGATGTCTCAAATTAGCATATCAAATGTACTCTTGCCTGCGACTTTAGTGTTCCCAGCCCACTCAGTGTACCAACAAACAGTAAACAGACCTCCTACTGCTGACACCATATTTGACAACTGTTTTATTTCCTCATATCTCACATGGCAGAGATGACTAACTTTCCACTAATAATTCATTTTTCACTTTTGCAGAGCAGACTTGTTATAGGAAAGTGGCTGCCTAAAGAGTCACCATATTTCCTGTTCTCTTTGCATAAAACTTGGAGCACAGCAGCTGGTTTGCATCAGAGAAAAGTTAATAGAAGTGATACATTGGCTTTCTTGGGCCATGTGCTTAAGAAGTGAGTGCACCTTCTTCATTCTTTTTTTTTTTTTTTGCCCCATCAGCCAGTCGGATGTCAATGCCGGGGAAACCATGGAACCCACGGAACCCACATAATATTTGCAGGTTCTCAATTAGACTGGCTCCATAAATGACTGTGTGAAAAGTAACCCCCACCATCTGGCCGGGCGCAGTGGCTCAAGCCTGTAATCCCAGCACTTTGGGAGGCCGAGGTGGGTGGATCACAAGGTCAGGAGTTCCAGACCAGCCTGGCCAAGATGGTGAAACCCCATCTCTACTAAAAATACAAAAACTAGCTAGGCACAGTAGCATGTGCCTGTATTCCCAGCTACTTGGGAGGCTGAGGCAGGAGAATCACTTGAACCTGGGAGGCAGAGGCTGCAGTGAGCTGAGATCGTGCCACTGCACTCTATCCTGGGTGACAAAGCGAGACTCCATCTAAAAAAAAAAAAAAAAAAAAAAGTAACCCCCACCCAAAAAAACACACACAGGCCAAAAACATCCACATTATACTGTCAGAGGCAAAACAAAACTTTAGTTTTTAAGCCACTGAAAAAATGAAGCATGTTTGTTATAATAGCTAGTGTCATACCATATGCTGTAGGATTCTGCTTATGTGAAATGTCCAAAGTAGGCAACGCTATAGAGACAGAAAGTAGATTAGTACTGCCTAGTGCTAGGAGACCAGGAGTTGGGAGAAAGGAGAGTGACTGCCAAGGGGCACATGGTTTCTTTCTGGAGTAAAGAAAGTATTCTAAAATTAGAGTGTGGCAATGATGGCACATCTCTGTGAACATACTAAGGAGCAATGAATTATATACTTTAAGCAGGTGGATTTTATGGTATGTGAATTACATTTCAATAAAGCTGTAATTTTTTAAAATGTAAAAAAAAAAAAAAAAAACTAGTGTCATAATAACCAACACATTTAATATATAACCCAACATCAAATATCCTTCAAAATATATCCCAAATCCAGACATCTCTTGCTTCTTGTGCCACCTCAAGAGAGCAAGGCACCTC